GTGAAATGTTATGCCTTAAGTAGTCTTAAGAGATGCTTTAAGGTAGGAAAGTATGAACTTTAAGTTATACTAGGGGTAGGCCTTAAGGGATACCCAAGATAGTGTGAATATTAAATTGATCCTAAGTATAGGATTGGCCTACGGGTGTGATCGGTAATTCTTGTGGATAGTCGGTTGAATTATGGAAATAGTAAGGACCATGGCCCTTCCCGACTCTAGAGAGCGGGGTTGGATAGCATGGACTTACATTGTGATCACGGGTTAGGGTGGAATCCGAATCGGAGACCTAACTAGGTTCCGGTAGCGGTAACACATAAGATAGGACCCCGAAGGGTCTTACCTTCCTACGGGATGAAGGGTATGAGTCCAGGGGCGGGATGTTGGAGTCCGAACCGGGAGCCTCATGAGGTCTCGGACATCGGTAGCAAGTCCCGTAGAAATAATAGGACCCAAGGGTTGGGTTGTGCAAATGATAAATGAAAAAGGATATATAAGAAGGGCCGTGTGCCGACAAATAAATAAATTTACTTATTATTAAGATAATAAGTGGGAAATATAAATTATTATTTATATTATGATATCACCCTATTTTGAGGGTCTTGGAAATTAAAACGTTAATTATACTTAGTATAGTTGCTATTGTACTTGTCAAATATTTCCAAGTACTGACCTCCCCTTCACGGGGGAGGCCACCTCACAATTTCAGGTAGGACTTGAAGGTTGCTACCGGTGCCCGTTGCTCGGGATATTAAGAGGAGAAGACGTGGTTCGTGCTTCTTCTGTTTCCTGTTTCAAAACAATTATAACAATGCTCATGGATATTATTTTTGAATAATTATTTGAGGGCTTGTATGCCCATGTTTGCCAAAGTGTGGCTAAGACATTTTATTAAATGCTTCCGCTGTTTTAAATGCATGTTTTACATTATGTTTGTTTATGGATGTACTATGTGTGAATGATATTCATGACGCCTTGTATAGTATGGATGAGTTGGACTGCGGTCGACTATTCGTACTGTACGGCGGGTTGTTGACGTGTCCGGCTAGGTCCGGGGCGTGACACACATACACAGTGTCCTTCTACTGATTTTGTCATTGGCACCATACACCACAAAAATATACAAAGTATAATCAATCTGGTTAGTAGTGACAGAGAAATTGATACATTGGGACATATCAGATATGATGTTGACGGTATAAGACAGATCCCACATGATCCAAATTTTGTTGCTTGTGTGTGCAAAAGCATTAGAAAAACCAAGATTCATCATTTTTTAATTCAAATTGGTAGAACTAATTTTAGGTTCAATAATTGAAAGAAGATTAATATGATAAGTACTGCATAAAAACTTTAAACGGTCAGTCGATTGGGAGTTACCAATTCCCAATATGTTCCAGAACAGGCTACTGATCATTAGAAAGATGCGATTGGGCAGTTTGCTTGGGCTTATAGTGTAAGGCTCTCTATGATTTTGGGTTTTAGATGGGACAGAGGAATCTTGAAACTTCTGTGTGGTTGTTTTGGATGGTTCCCCATCAGAGACAGTTTCTCTGGGGTCCATGTAAAAATCCCTTTGATTTTGGTCCTCAGCACCATCCTGGTTCAAATCAGTAAGAACCAGGTTAACAACAGTATTTGTAGGGATGGGAGAAGCTGGTTTTGGTGCTAGAGGTTTTTCTTTTGTAGGGTGGGGTGGGTGCATAAGGCTCTCACTGATAGTATCATCAATGTCCTGCACTGTATTAGTCATATCAATATGAGTACCATTAGTAGAGTGTGTGCATTTTGGTATCAATAAAGGCTTTAGCAATCTTCTGCACGCTTGTTAGAAAATTGTTAGCAACACTAATAGTATTAAGGGGGGGGGGGGGGGGGGGGCAGAGGTTCTCATTGATATGGGACTGAGTGTCATGAACAGAAGCTTCTAAGCACGGGGGGCTAGATTCAGAAGGTGGATGAGATGAAACCTCCTCCAAGATCTGGAGGGCTTCCTCAAACTTTTCAAGTTGAGGTCCATCATCATGTCCCTTTGACACGCCTGACGTTATTCCAATACCAAGACTTGTCTTAGGCCAAGCCATAATAGTTTGAGTGGGAGGGGGGTTGGGATGGTTGTGTGTGTGTGGGGGGGGGGGGGGTGATGGAACCACCCTCTTGCCCTTATCCAATGTTAGGATAAGATTAATTTTAGATTGGTTTTCCATTTGAGGGGGATTGTTAATTTTGGAGCATTTCCCAGCAGCACGACCAACATGATGGCACACAGTACATTATTGGGGGAGTTGCTCATCCGTCAAGTTGTACTACAAAAAACCTTCATACCCTTCGTCTTCCAGCCAGAACTTATCAGGTATGGGTTTCAGAAGATCAATCTCAACAAGGATCCTTGCAACAAAGGGACATTTTTATATCCAATGTTAGTTTATCACATTGAAGGGGTTGACAAAAATTTGAGCACAGTTCAAACAAGAAATCTTCGTCAAACAAATGAAACGGGAGGTGGGGGAACTAGATCCAACAGGGTACAAATGATGATTCTCTGGAAGGATGGTACCCAGGATACCATCTAGAGACCCACATCGTATACCCGTGGATTATCCAGGTTTGTCGCATTCGACAACGAATGTATTCAGTTTTCTTATCTCATTCTTATAAGTAAACCTATAGAAAAAGTTTTGTAATTCATAGCTTCAAAAACCTCACGGATTGATAACAGAGATGGTTGGCCTTTCATGAAGGTTCCAACCAGTGCGTACTGCAAGTCACCAGCAAGGATATCAGATCTCGCCTTTAGAGTCTTCACCGATAAACACCCCTTGTGTTTTCCGATGAGTATCTGAATCGAAGGGTCATCTTTAACGTACGACTGTTTCCTGGGAGCGCTGGAAACCACTGATGCCCCAGATTTAGGTAACTGGGGGGCTCTCCCATTGTGGGGGAGGTCTAGAGACGAGCGAGATGAACTAGGTTAAGCTAGATTGGGGATAGGAGCGTAGATAATTCTAGAGAATGGAGAGAGCGATTTTTTTCTTGACCCCCGTAATTGTTATTGTCCTCTTTCATTATCCCATATCATTTCTTGTTTTCCATAGACTTCAACGTAACATAATAGAATCAGAAGAAACTTCTCTGGACAGACTGGACTTATCAGATTTATCATTTAATATTTTTTCAAAACACGTAGATCTTAATTTCATGTGTTGGATTGTATACTAATTAAAAGAGTTTTTGCCATTTTTGGTCCCCTCACTATTGTGTCATTGACACTTTTGATACTCGACTTTTAATTTTTTTCAATTTTAGTCCTTGACTATTGTGCTAGAGACACTTTAGTCTTCGATATCAAAATTTCCACATTTAGTCCCCTGAGTATTATCAAATCGACACTTTTAGTCCTTCCACTATAATTTTGACACAACAAGTGGAAGACTAAAAATGTCATTATTATAAAAGTTGAAGGAACAAAAGTCTCACTTTTATGAAAGTCGGGGGACTAAATATGAAAATTTTCAAAGATGGGTACTAAAAGTGTCTCTAGTACAATAGTTGAGCACTAAAAATGGAAAAAATCAAAGTCGAGTACCAAAAGTGTCAATGTCAGGATAGTTGAAGGACTAAAATTGGCAAAAACTTCTAATTACAATAAGTAAAATTAGAGTTTTTTTTCCAGATCGTGGATCATTTTAGCATTTTTTCGTATACTTTTTCTTATTTTTATTAACAAAAAATATTTCGAATATAGTATTTCCATAATTTAGTAGATCCAACCGGGCGCTTCGTTTATCAATTTAAGTATATTCACTGAAGTGATCAAATCCTTACATTACTAGTGCGTTGTAGATAGTATATTTATATATAGATAAACTTCATGCTTTGAGCATTTTGAAAATAAGAGAATTATATTTTTGAAATTGAAAAGACCTGCCTTTTGTATCTGGATTAACACCTTCCCATGTGATGTATTTTAAAATAACTACCATGGGTTTTAACAACTCACGTGTAAATTTTATTTTCTTTAAATTTTGAAAATTTTAACATACATACATATGTGAAGGATCGATCCCACAGTCCGGAGGCAGACTATCGATATTGTCTGTTTTGGCTTGCTCCTCACGAATTTAATACGCGTCGATAGTGGTGGAGAGTCTAGGCCTTATAAGGTACCAAGGATTCTCCTAGCCCACCGGTGTGGGATTCTTTGACATTCCTACTGAAGAGGCAGGTTTAAGAGTCGCGGGTTTGACCGGCTCGAGGAACTGAAAGGCCCATACCTAACAATCCCCCCCACACCGCTGCTGCCCTCTGGCTCTGATATCAATTGAAGGACCGATCTCACAGTCGGGAGGCAGACTACCCATATTGTCCGCTTTGGCTTGCCCCTCACGGATTTAAAACGCGTCGATAGTGGTGGAGAGCCTAAGCCTTATAAAAAGTAAGGTATCAATGACTCTCCTAGTCTACCGGTGTGAATTCTTTGACATTCCTATCGAAGAGGCGGGTTTAAAGGTCACGGGTTTGACCGGCTCGAGGGACCTAACAATATCATTGATACAAAAGTTGAGATTCTTTCTGTATTTAATTCGTATCAGATACACGCACCATGTTTGCACTTAAATTACATTATATTATATTGGACTTGTTTTAAATTTTAGACATGATTATTGGTTATACACTTATACTTGAACAGCAACGAAAGAATATTGCACTCCAATTGAATACTCCGTATAAGACAATAATGCTCGTTACGGAGTACTTTCTAATATTTCAAAATCAAGAGTCAAAGTAAACCAAAAAACACGAGGAAACATATAAAAAAGGTTTCTAACTTTCTGTTAAATAAAGGAAAAATCGCACTTTTAATTCTTGAAATAGTCATCATATTGAAATGTAAATTTTTTATTTTCAAGTTTGTAAATGTATATGATCATTTGAGGGGTGAAATGTAAAATGTGGGCGAGAAATACATTACACCTCTGACCTTTCAAAGAACCACATTTACAGCAATTTGAACAATTGAGGGGTGACATTTGCAAACTCGAATATACAATATCTTACATTTCAATATAATAACTATTTGAGCAACTAAATATGGTAATATTTCAATCTTTTCCCTTAAATAAATTAAAATGTGGAAGGAAACCAAAGTAAAGAATCACAAAAAAGGCATGGCATAGAAAATTTGAATTCTATCACCGAGGTAAAGAATCTAATTACACCAAGATCTAAAATCTAAAAATGGTAATATTTCAATCTTTTCCTGGTTATCTTCTTGGTCAATCAGAAGAAGAATTAACGTGAAGAGAGGCATTAGCGTCTGAATTGCAAACTGGGCAATTGTCAATCTGAATTGACCCAAAACACATTGCGCAAAGACACAGATGCCGGCAAGGAAGCAGCAAAACACTCGACTCTCTCACTCGGCAACGCCGGCAGATCCGGCCGCCGCGGGCGTCGCCGCTGCTTCCGCAGCAGGAGGACGCCGAATCTTCGTCCACCGCGGCGGCGCTGGAGAGGAGCTTATCTAAATTGGCACGGAGGGAGTCGGCGGCGGCCGCTTTTTTGTAGGCCATGTCTCGCCAGAGCTGCTTCTGCAAGTCGAGATTTTTCACCCTTTCTTGAAGCGCAAGATTCCATTTGCACATTTGCCGGATCTCGTCCTCTTTTTCGCTTAATTTCTTCATCAGCCCTTCTCCGATCACCGCCGTCATTATCTGCTTATTTCTCTTCTCAATTTCAACCTTCAATTTCTTTGCCTGTAAGTAAATCCCAAACAGATTATTATTACTAAAATTCTGTTTATATTCAAAAATCCCAAAATTGAATAAAGAACAAGATGTATTGCGTACATGCTGAGACACGATCCGGTCTATCTCGACCTGATATTGCCGGAGAGCCGGAAAATCGCCATTGTCGGGAACATATGGGTTTTGGTTAAAGCTTTGATTTTTAATTTTCTGCGATGCAAAAAAAGGGGACAACTTGATCGAATCTCCAGGAGCTCGTCTCTTCCGGGTAACATCCTGATTTCCAATATAACCGTCGACGCCATATTCCGTCGCCGTCGCCGGCTGAGATACATTAAACGACGGCAATATACCATGAAATCCGGTGATCATTGGTTTGATATCAGCCAAATCTGGGAAAGTTTCCTCATGACTCAAGGGTATGAAATCCGACAGTTCTTGAAGAAATATATTGCGATTTGCTTGAACGGCCATTGAAGATTTTGGAGATTGGAAGGAGAAGAGGACAGCGAGGTTTAGTGAAGAATCTGAGGAAGTTTGGTTTTAAATAGGCCCGCAATTCTTGTTGCTTAAGGTTGTTGCCTAATGACATTTTTAGGTTATTAATAAATTGACCGTTACAGTACTAATTACTCCGTACTACTATTATTTTTTAGGATTTGTTTTTGTTTAGACTTTGTTGTTGGAATGTTGGGCACGTTCTTGGCTAGACCTCCTAAAAAGTCGTCAAAATCTTCTCCAAAAAGTTTGACCATATATACCGCAGTATATTTATTGCTATATTTTTATTTTAGCTACAATCTTCTCATTTCCACGTGGATGCACAACTTTAATCATTCTAATCATTCATGCATTTCATTCCTTGATGGTAAAAAGAAAAAAAATCAAATAATGGATATTTAATGCGAGTAATTTAACAATATTTTTCGAAAATAAAAATTCAACAGAGTAATACATTAATTAATAAATAACATATAATCAAAATAGAGAATATGAAAAATGTAAAATTCAACATGATGCATTTATTTAAGAATATATGTTGTATAAAAAAGTACTCTCTCAGTCCCGCTAGTAGTTTCTCGTGAACGGTTTACGATGATTGACTGTCGATAAAGTAACTTAATTCCTGTTCACAATCTGTTTATTTTTAGTAATTAAAATTAACATATTCAGAAACTACATTAAAACCGCTACAAAGTCTAACAAAAAAATGTAAATTTGGCAAAAATTTGATTTACAAAGTAAAAGATTAAAAATGATTTAAGTTGACCATGAGAATAGTGGACGGGAACCTTCTAACGGGACGGGGGAAGTAAAAGATATCTTAGTCAAAAGATTCAAAGAAAATCACGATGATTGAAAAGGATGACAGCTCATTCCTTAGGGGCCTCTCAAAATCAACCACCTCTCAAAATCAACTAGACAGTTAACTTTCATCTAATTCTAATAAAAATTAAAGGGAGTGATGTTCCATCTCAAATCATTATTTGGAGTTAAGAGGACACTCCTATCTATCTTATGACACATTGTTTCTACTAGCTACCCCCATTAAAAAAATCACTACGATTAATTAATTTTTCATATGGACGACGGAATAGACGAATAGTAAAAGCATTTGTTGAAAAAAAAACGCTATTTTCTAAGAAGTGGTTCATGCAGTACGTAGTTGTTCTGAACAAGGAAAGTTCGTAGTCCCATTAGGTTCCAAAAAATATTAAATAATTTATTCATCATAAATTATTTGTTCTTAGGTGCACAAACGTGAAAGAATATGGCAAAAAATTATAATTATGTCCCTAAAGAAATTAGTGGATGCGCCTTAATTATTTTTAATTAATGTATAAGTGCAATTATTTCAAGATGAGTCCATGTAGTCAAATTTTAAAGCTTACATAAAGAAGACTTCTTATGTAATTTTGTTAGATAAAAAAGAGCTATTTTTTCGAGAAATCGGAAAAAAAGGTTTATAAAAATGAGATTTTATAAAAGCTAAAAGTTTAAATTTTGTTGATTTTTTGTTATAAAAGTTATAAAAATATTTCATAGATTCCACAGAAATTCAAATCGGTAACACTTAAATTCTGACGGAATTCTAAACTTTATTAAAATCCCCCATAATCCATATTGGGGACACCCCCTAAGTACAAAATATTATGTAGTATAACACAAAATTAATTATATATTAAAACTAAAAGTTAAGTAAGGAATTGAAACACGCATATATACAATTAAAATATAAATATTTTTGTGAAAATATTACGTGTACATTAAAAAAATTGAAGTACCAAGGAAGCAGTACGTCCCTGCCTAGATTTATCCCTGCATGTGAGATAAGTACACCTAAATAGACTAGATGATGTTACACATAAAAAACTAAATCGGACGTACATTGAAAAATAAATACGTACAATAATATTTGAGAACTGAGAATCTGGATTAATACGTACTCATAGATCTCAATGAGATATTTTTATAAATGTATTGTTTGTAAGAAACAAGTTAGAGAGAAAGACAACAACAATTCAGTATAGTGTAAAATGTCCAACATTCATGTAACCTACATTAAGTCGGAGTATTGTATTCCAAAAGCTTGTTTAAAATTTTAGTAATGTTTTTAGGAAAAATTGATAGTAATAATAATAATCCAACATTTCATCACTTTTCTCAGAATAATCCCACTTTTGTTTAATCTTGGAATAATTCCATCTTCGCACCTCATTTTTTCGGTTGTCTCTGACCGTTGATGACTATTTATAGCAATTATCCCTAGACACTTTTTATTCCTTTTTCGTCTTTTGATTTTTATTTCTTTTCTTTATTTATTGATTCTATTTCTCATTTTATTAGGAGAGCTTTTTTGTAAAATTTCCTCTCCCGACAAATATTTTTGCCATTTTCTTCTTCTTCTTCTCATATTTTTATTTCTTATCCCTTTTATGCACTTCTCTTCTTAATCGTTCTCGTTTGGTAAAAGATATTTTTCTCATTCTGTTTTTATTATATTTTCTTTTTATTTTCACTATCTTCACTTTTTCTTCTTGTTACTCCCCCCGTTTCACAATCTTTGACACAATTTCTTTTTTGGTTATTTCACAATCAATGACACACTTCCCTATTTCCTTATTTGGTAAACAAATCTTTACCAAAACAGTGTCGAACAGTGCCAACAGTGTTCAAACAGTGCCAAACAGTGTTCAATTAGTGCCAAACAGTGTACTCTACGGTAAAATTTACCCTTCAGTAACATTTTTTCCTTAATTCTTGACAAGTCAAACTGTGTCAAAGATTGTGAAATGGAGGGAGTACTCTTTTGTGTTTTTTCTTCTTTCTTCTTGTCATCTTAATTAGTTCCACCATAAAATATTTTTAAGTAATTAACCTTAATAGGAATAAAACATACTTCTCCTTGAATAAGAGTCAATTTCTAATTTTACTAAATAGGACTAAACATTAGTTTTTTACATCTAATACCTCATCTAATTAATTAATTGTCCCATAATTCCCTTTGATAACCGGGTCAAACCGTTGGTGACAGACAAAGGCCATTGACATTGGAGCTCCGGCAATTATTGGTGGCGGTGTCAAAATATTGGCAAATGCATTCTGAGATTTTATTGGTGGCGGCAGCCGGAGGCGATACTAACGGCAATGGCCGGAGGTGATACTAACGGCGGTGGCCGAAGGCGAAACTAACGGCATCGCACACAAGAGGTAACAGCTTCGACAGATCACATCTGAATATTTTTGGCGGATTCCAGGGCTGATGCCAACTTCGACAAGGGTATCCTTGTCCAAGCTTCAAGCATACTCCCACTTTTGTACTTCCTCCTTGTTTTGCTCTTATTTGTGAAATTAACTCTATGCATCATCATATTTTTATAAGTAAGTCAATCCACTAATTCCATTAATTACGGGAAATAGTCTATGGGAAAAAAGATTATGGAAGAAAAGAAATATAAGAAAATAAAACAATCAGAGAAAAGTAAGAAAGAAAAAATGATGTATACTCTTTACATGAAAATGAATAGATGGAACAAAAATTAGCTAATTAAAAAAGAGAAACAAATAAGAACAAAATTATAATTAAAATAAATTAGAATAAAATGAGAAAAATACCACTTTTAAGATTCGTATAATGTTTAGTCACCAGCTGCAGTCATGTTATTAATATAACCTGATAATAATAAAACTTAATAAAGTTTGGTCATGCAATAACCGTGTGGGCTTAAATGAGATTTGTTCCTTATGTGGGCTTATAATATGACTCGCGTGCTCTCTAAGGAGCATGTAACATGCTCCGTAAAATTTCTCAATACTAGCTTGACCTAATTTATAAACCAATACTAATGGTGTTTTTTGAAGTGAAGACTTCTTATGTAATGTTATTAGATAAAAAAGAGCTATTTTTTCGAGAAATCGGAAAAAATGGTTTATAAAAATGAGATTTTATAAAAGCTAAAAGTTTAAATTTTGTTGATTTTTTGTTATAAAAGTTGTAAAAATATTTCATAGATTCCACAGAAATTCAAATCGGTGACACTTAAATTCTAACGGAATTCTAAACTCTATTAAATAGTGAATATGTTCTATTTTTTATATCAAGGCCATAAAAATATTTTTAAAAAAAACAGTTTTTTTGCCTAATAAATCACTTTTTTTGCAATTTTTTTACATAAAACTGATTGAATAACAGGGCTTTGTGATGTTATGTAACTCATATTTAGAAAATGTAACTCACGTTGATGGAAAATCTAACTTAGATGTATGCAAAATGTAACTTGTTAAGGCAAATCTAAATATAACTCGTATATATATAAAAAGATATAACTCACGCATAAAAATATGTAACTCACGCATTAAAAGATGTAATTAGCGCATTAAAAGGTGTAACCCACGCATAAGAAGATGTGAGTTATGGTAAACTAGATTTGATGTGAGTTATGCTTAAAAAATTCTACCGGAAACCATCACAAACGGCAGCCGGACAGCGGAGGGCTGGGCCTGATCATTTCTCAATATTCCATATATAAAATTTGGTGCTTTGCTAATCTTTAAATACTCCGTAGTTTTGAATTTGGTGGGATGATTAAAGAGACAATGGCAGGCTCTGGCGACACAAATGAGTCGTCATATATGTTGGCTAAACACCAAGGGCAAAAAGCTACACAGAGAATGGCTTTCTGACGTAATAAGGCTCTTTGAGATCAGTCATCAGCCCCTCCTCCAGATCCCCGGAGTAAAAAAATGACAAAGTTTTTTTGGGAAAATCAAAAAAGAAAAATTGACAAACTTTCCTTTTTTGTTGTTCAACTAACTTTGTCATATTTCCTTTTAAATAAACAATTTGTGGTTCCAGTTAATTCTTTATCCTCTGCACAAATCTTAATCACACAATTTTTACTTTATTAATCTACGTGTCAGTCAAACTTGACAATGTTTTAAAGGAGGGTGAGAGTATTGCCAAATTTTACAAACTTGGCAAAGTTTTAATGGTTGTCATTGTTGTTACAAAAGTAAAGCTTATTAAGTGAC